CTTCTGTTTCTATCAACATTTCATGATGATGATATAATCTGTGCAGTAGTGGATTACAGCTCTGCTGTCTAGTGACAGTTATTTTTTAGCCAGAAAAGGTATATCAATATTTTTTTCTCTTGAGGTAAGCTCGTGTACTAAAGGTTTTGACTGTAAGAAATATAACGATTCAGTTCCGATTTTCTCATAGATATGAAAGGGAAATCTTGGATTTTATTCATGTTCTGCTTTATACGTGATGCCATCTCATTGAATTTTGAAGGTTGGGGGTTCGTGGAAGAACAGAAAAAATATATTGTTTTGAATGGAGTATTCTGTTTTTGAATTAATGATGACCTCTGTTGCTTGTGAAGCATATTTTTCTCTGGCAGATCTTTTGATTCTCTCCCTGACAGACTGCTGTATAACATGTTTAATGAACATGACATAGTATGGAGTAAGTATTCCTGACAGTTCCGAATAAATATTCATCATACTAAAAAAGGCAATGACTTACTCCATTCCCGTCATCATTAAAGGATCCTGGACACTTAATTCATTGTCCTATGATTACTACAAACGTCCAGGATCCTTTGAGTGGAATATATGACTTGTATTTTTATTTACTTTCTCGAAAATAAATTCCTTTTACATTCTTAGCTGATCAACGCTACTTAAGAATAGGCTTATGGAAAGTCAAATAATAAATACACGAGACAGCCAGACAGTCAAACATGTATTTTAGACACTCGAGTAGTTCATGTAATGTAGATCATATGTCTAGATGAACAATTCTATTTTTAAACTTTTACTTAGAATGCTTACACTGTTCAGGGCCTCTCTTAAAGTCTTTTGAAATATAACAGACATGGCCCAAGATATAATGTTAAGTTCAAGAAAATGTTTGTTAATCTTAAGTTACATACAGCTCACTTAGTTTAAAGACAAATTTAAGTTAAATAATGTTGCCTGTTGTTTAAAATGAATGAAAGTCAAAAGAAAGCTAAGTGACTTAGAGTAAGCAGTATTTCAATAAGGGAGAAAACTTTGACTACACGGAAGTAAAAAAATCAAGAAAATAGAATTAAGTCTATAAAATGAGCTCTTATTAACAACTTTGGAAACGTTTATTTTATTTTTTTTAATTTCAAATTACAGTTTGCTTGTTCATTCTGGGTGAACTCAGCACCTTCTTTTCACTTTAGATAATTATTCGAACATGAACAGGAAACTGAACACTATTTCAAGACATTAGTACTACACCTTAAAACAGTAACTTTAGAAGATACATAATTTAATTTGTACTAATAAGATTTTAATAATATTATAATGAAGTATGAGTATAAATAACTCACCTACAGGGGATGCATGAGTTGTAGAACTTCACCTCTACCTTAATAATGGAAACACATTTTTGAAACTGAATGAATGAATCTGTTCAAATTTACACACACTCAAAAAATAGTCTGAAAGAAAAGCCTGCCACTAAGAATGTCCTTTGGAACACCATTAGAGCTGGCGACCTTTCTGAGAATATTGGGCTACAGCAAATTGGAAGGGTCATATGTAACTCAAATCCAGGTCCATCTGGACTCTTCAGAAACAGGGAACAATAAACACAGACTAGTAATAATAGTAGCTAACATTTATTGTAAGTTTTCTGTTTACTAAGTGCTACTTAGTATAATTTTTCATGCATAACTCAAGGAATTATTACAATCTAAGAAGAAAATACATTAGCTTACATATAAAAAAGAAACTACATACAGAAGTTATATAACCTAT